CACCGCCTTCAGTATCTGGTCACGCTCCCACCCTTCTTGCATAGCCTGCCTCCACTGAAAGTTGTAAGAGAAGCCAGTCAGCACTGCTGACCTTGGGAAGTACACACGGGTACCCGAGACAGCCTGGGGACCCCTTCCTAAGACTCACTGGCAACCTTGTGCTACAGGTTTCCCCCTCACGTGGAACAGGGCAGAGGAAAGGACACAGAAATGCACATCAGTAGGTCACAGTCAGGAGACATGTGCTAACCTGCTCGCCCAGCTGCTGGATGCACGCAAAGTCATTGCTTAGAGTCGTTTTGTCAGTGAGGTGCTGGGACTGATCACCTCACATGATCAATGGTGGCTCCCCCAGCACCGAACCCCAGTCTTCGGGACTCATGCTTTACTCACTGTACATCTGATTTGGCTGGCCTTGGCCAGACTGCAGGCTTGGAAGAGTGTGAGGCCCTGCCTGTCAGAGCTGACTAACTGCTGTGCGTCAGTCAAGGTTCTCTAGAGTAACAAAACTTAGCGAATGAATCTCTATCTATCATCTCTCCATCTATATCAATATCTATAGCCATATAAAGGGAATGTACTGGAATGACTTACACACTGTGATCCAGCTAATCCAATAATGGCTCTGTACAGAGGGTCCAAGAACCCAGTAATTGTCTAGTCCACGAGACTGGATGGCTCAGCTGGTCTTCAGGATACACTGGAATCCCAAGAAGTAGGCTCTCATGCCAGTGAAGGAATGGACCTGCTAGCCAATGAGAGCAGGCAGGCAAAGAGCAAGAGCTGCCTTCTCCCATGTCCTTATAGGGGCTTCCAGCAGAAGGTGTGATCCGGAATGGAGATGAGTCTTCCCACCTCAAAGATTTAGATTAGAAGCAGATCTTTCCACTTCAAATTAAGCAAAAATCCCTCACAGGTGTGCGCCTCCATTTCTGAGCTTTAGTTAATTCCACGTGTAGTCGAGCTGACAACCAAGAGTGGCCACCACACTCTGAAACTCACTTCTCACCTGCGGTGTGATCCTAAGCTTAGAGTAGGAGCTACTTATCAGTGGTCACCAAGGTCATCTTCCATTGCAGTCTTCTGTGGCCACTCAGCTTCCTATTCTCTCCCCTTACCCCTATGGCATACTAGCTGACTTGCCTTCAAACCAACTGTGTTAGTTACTATTTGGTTGCTGTGAAGAGGAACCATTGCCAAGGCAATTCTTATAGAAGAAAGCATTTAATTGGGGGCTTAGTCAGTGATCATCATGGCCTAAAGCAGACCAGCATGGAAGTGGAGTCGTAGCTGAGACTTTACATCCTGATCTGCAGGGAGAGAGAGAGAGAGAGAGGGAGAGAGGGGGAGAGAGCGAGAGAGAGCGAGAGAGAGACAGACTGGGCCTGCTGTGGGCTTTGAAACCTCAGTCAACCCTTAGGAACACTTCCTCCAGGAAGGCCACACCTCCCAATCCTTCTCAGATAGTTCCACTGCCTGGTGACTAAGCATTAAAATATATGAGCCTGTGGGGCCACTCTCCTTCAAAGCACCACACCAACTCCCTTCTCAGCAGACCCTATCCCCAACATTATGCATATTCTCTCCCTGCTCTGTTACAGGATGGGCAACACTCCAGATTCAGCCTCAGACAACCTGGGCTTCCGCTGCGCTTCCAGCACAGGCCGACTGAAGGAGGATCTGTGAGCATCCAGGCAGGGATAGAGAAAGCCCTCCTCAGTACCGTGTCTCCCTAACCATGTTCCAGAGGTGTGTGGATATCAAGTTCTTCATCAGCATTTGGGCAGCCTCTCTTTGAGCCCTTTCTCTCTGGCAGAAGCCTCTTAAGGGCATAAGAACACTCAACCCCAAGAGGGGACTACCATAGCCTGGAAGAGGAGGGCCTGGATGACCACGGCTGGGAGCTGGGTGTTTCTCTGAAATGCAATATTAAGGACAAAGGAACCAAGCACTCCAATATCTGGAGTAGTTCTCCAAAAGACAGCGATTGAAAAATCCCTCCCTTTCAGCCAGGTGGTGGTGGTGGTGGTGGTGGTGGTGGTGGTGGTGCACACCTTTAATCCCTGCATTTGGGAGGTAGAGGCAGGTGGATCTCTGTGAGTTCGAGACCAGCCTGGCATACAGAGTGAGTTCCAGGACAGCCAAGGCTACACAGAGTCCCTGTCTCAGAAAACTAAATCTCTTCTTTTTCTTTCTCCCTGACTGATTCTGTTTTCACTTCTCCTGGGAAATCCTGTAGAAGGAAAAGCTTCCCTGATGTGACGGTACCTAAAACCCCTTTGAGGGACCCCAGCCTCCAGGGTGCTCGCCACGTGGCAAGGCGGGTTTCACTATCAATCCTCCGGCCTCAGCTTCCTGGGCCCTGGGATTATAAACAATGCACAGTACTAAAACACTCTGGTAGAGCAATAATTTACCAGGTGAAGCTGTGCATTGTGGGAGTAACAAGGTCTGTGGTCCTCTAGGAAGACAAATGTCAGAAACCTCTCCCCTGCGTGTTAACCATGTAGGGGCTTCCGTGTACCTCTGCAAACATATCCCCAGGCAAGAACTGGATCCCATGGTGTTGCTGGATCTCAGGTCAATAAACTCTGCATTTGTGTATATCATGAGGTCCACTTTTTTTTTTTAATTGTTATCTGAGACAGGGTCTCATGTAGTTCAGACTAGCCTCATACTCCTTGTGTAGCCAAGAATGACCTTGAACTCCTGATCATCCTGCCTCCATTTCCTCAATTATCAATAACCTTGGGCCCATAAAGAAGCTGAAACGGGCAGAGAGATAACTCAGCGGTTCAGAGCACTTGTGCTTTCAGAAGAGGGGTTCAGTTCCCACCACCCTCAAGGTGGTCCCCAACTATCCTTAACTCCAGTCTCAGGGCATCTGACGCCCTCTTTTGGCCTCCACAGGTACTGCATGCATGTGGGGCACATACCAGGTGGACAAAACACACATAACATACATAAATCTGGAAAAGGAGAAAGAACCCAAGACAGTGACATAGGTGCACAGCAGAGAAGCCAGGAGGCTTATAGCTCCCAGAGCACTCACTCTCTGCCCTTCCTCTCCTGCCTGACACCGCCTCGGCTGCACTGGATCTATTTATTTTTATTTTTGTTTTTAAAGTTTTTTTTCGTCATACCGGGGGTTGGGTGAACTCAGGGCCTTACCAAGGAGTTACATTCCCAGCCCTATTTTTACTTTGAAACAATGATCACTAAGCTGCCCAGGCTAGCCTGGAACTTGGGATCCTACTGCCTCAGGACAACATGCACACGCCACCACACCCAGCCCCCGCTGTAATTACTGCTGTTTAACGGGACACCATTCGCTTCTAGTGGGGAGCTTTTAGGAACACAGAGTAGGGTCAGCTGTTCTGCCTCTGAGGCCTACTTAGGAACTCCTCACAGTTCTGGGGGTGTCTGCTCTCAGCCTCCCCCTGCATCCCACTGCCCCTCAGAAATCATCCTCCTCTTCAGCCAAGGAGAGGAGCACTGCCTTGGGTGTGTTCTCGAAGAGGGCAGCCCTATTCTGCTGCTGCCCTTTCTTCACCCAGTGGCCGTAGATTCGGAAAGCATAGGCATCGATGAGCTTCCGTAGCGGCCTCAGGGCGTAGGGGTCTCGGATGACGATCTCCCTGGTTACAGGCTTCACCCGACGGTACTGGTAGTAGATCCTTACCGAGGCCAGCACAGTTAGACAGATCACCTGCAGGAGGCAGCGTTGAGAACCCTCAGCCGCAGCCGAGCTTGTCAGAAAAGCCATGATGGCTTTGGGGATGCCCTTCATGATGCCCTGTATTCCCAGACCACAAGTATGTACCGGGATTTAGGACATTCCCTGCAACCCGAAACTGAATGGCAACAGTGGATACAAGAAGGGGGGCAATTTGCCCGGGCAGGTGGCGCACACCTTTAATTCCAGCACGTAGGTGGCAGGGGCAGGAGGATCTCTGAATTAGAGGCCAGCCTGGTCTACAGAGTGAGTTCCAGGACAGCCAGAGCTACGCAGAGAAGCCCTGGAGAGAGAGAGAGGCGAATCCCCCGTAGTTTAAGGCTCTGGGACTCTGGGAGCATGGTGCCAGCAGGTATAGAGTACTCCAGGAGCCAACAGCAGCCTCCCCCAAGACCGCGGCCAAGGCAAGCTTCAGTACCTTGAACTTCCCTCGGGGGCTGAAGTGCCTCACTTCTTCCACCACGTACTGCTGGAAGAAAGGGTGCGCCAGGGCCTCTTCCGCCGAGCAGCGGTCCTGGGGACGCACCACCAAGAAGCGAGACACCTGTGAGAGCACAAGGGAACTGAGAAGGGAACTGAGGCTACCAGGGCAGCGTTTTGGAAGACTCAGGGTGTGACGGGCAGTCCTTATTGACAGGATTTAGAACCACTGTGAAAACTTCGCGGGGTTAATTCTGGCTTATGCTTTGTGTCTCCGGGTGTGTGAGGAGAGACCGGTCACGTGACACCCGCAGTCAGGAAGCAGAGAGAGAGATGGATGCTGGTGCTCAGCTCACTTTCTCCTTTCTGTCCGGGACCCCAGACTAGGAAATGGTGCCGCACACATTTAGGGTGAAGCGTCCCACCTCCACCTGTCTAACCAATCCCTCACAGACACACCCAGAAGCCAGAATTAACCCTTCCTTCCTTCCTTAAGTAACTTTCTTTAGAATATTTTTTTAATTGTATTTACAGTGCTCTGCCTGCATGTATGCCTACACACCAGAAGAGGGCACCAGATCTCATTATGGATGGTTGTGAGCCACCAGGTTGGGAATTGAACTCAGGACCTCTGGAAGAGCAGTCAGTGCTCTTAACCTCTGCACCATCTCTCCAGCCTCTTTTTTTTTTTCCCCGAGACAGGGTTTCTCTGTGGCTTTGGAGGCTGTCCTGGAACTAGCTCTGGTAGACCAGACTGGTCTCGAACTCACAAAGATCCGCCTGTCTCTGCCTCCCGAGTGCTGGGACTAAAGGCGTGCGCCACCAACACCCGGCCTCTCCAGCCTCTTAAGTAGCTTTTGCTAGGTATTTTGTAAGACAAATACAAAGGGGCCCCTTCTGGAGATTCCTCCACTCCGGGGTGTGCTCCCTGTGTTGGGGAGTTTTCCTCTTCCTTGACATCCGCGGAGCAGGCGGGCATGGCCTCTCACCAAGTCTTTCACTGTGTCTGAATAGTCATCCCATTCTGGTGAGCCAAACTGGTATTTGCCGTCCATGATCATCCTCAACATCAGCATCTGCTTCCGGTGCCAGAAGGGCGGGGAGCCAGCCAGCAGTGTGTACATGATGACCCCAGTGCTCCACCTGGAGGGTGGCAGGGACTCAGGCCACCCTCAGCCTCATGGGTAGGGGAGGCATGCAGGAGTAGCCAGGCTGGCCACAGTTCCTGGTTTCACCGGGGACCACCTCCCCCCATCTACCCAGATCACTCACATGTCCACCTCCTTCCCATAGCCAGGATGGCTGTCGTCCATGGAGCACTGGATGATTTCAGGGGCCAGATAACTGGGAGTCCCGCAGACCTCTGCAGGAACAGTCACTATCAGGACAGGCCCACAGGGGCCCTTGGGAGCAGTTACCCAAGGAAGCCAAGAGATGGGATGAGAACAGCAGGGCTCTCCTATTTCATGATCAAGAGTAGCATCAGGGTACACAGGCTCACGGGGCCACCCATAGATTCCTAGGTCCTTTTAGGCACCGTGGCACAGAGCTCAAGCTGTGGTAACCCAGGTCAGTGGAGTCCTAGGGAGAGGACTTGACTCAAGAGACATCTAGCCTCTGGGTAATGTGCACACAGGTAAAAATGCCCAGAGACCAGAAGAAAGTCTTATCCCTTAGAACTGGAGTTATAGGTGGCTTTGAAAGTCTCCCTCTGTGGGTGCTGGGAACTGAAACTTGGGTCTTCTACATGAGGAATACAGCTCTTTTTCTTTTTTAAGTTCATGTGCTTGCCTGGTGCCCAATCCCCTGGAATTGGAGTTACAGACATTTGCGATTGGCAGTGTGGGTGCAGGTCCTCTAGAAGAGCAGCCCATGCTTTTAACTGCTGAGCCATTTCTGGGATTGTGTGTGTGTGTGTGTGTGTGTGTGTGTGTGTGTGTGTGTGTGTGTGTGTGTGTGTGTAAGAGCCAGAAGTGAATGTCAGGCGTCTTCCTTGATTGCGCTCCATCTTGTTTTTGAGGCAAGGTCTCTCACCTGCCTGGAGCTGGCCAGCGATTCCCAAGGTTCCTCCTATCTATCTGCCTGTCCAGTGCTAAGGTTACATGGGCTCTGGGGATTCAAACTCAGACCCTTATGCTTATGTATCCCATTTTACCCACTGAGCCATCTCCTCAGCCACTGAAGTGGTAGACATTCAGGCCGTTTCCATCCCCGAGGCCCCTCTGTGGACCAAGGCCATGGAACCAGACCTCGGAGCCTCTCTCCTGGCTGCAGCTGGCAGGAAAATCCGAAGTCTGTGAGCTTGATGTTCATGTCATCATCTAGAAGGATGTTCTCTGGCTTCAGGTCCCGATGGACAATGTTGAGTTTGTGCAGGGTGCAGATCACCTCCAGCAGGGCCCGCATGATCTTTCTGAGGAGGCAGATACAGGGCAATGGTTTGTTGTTATTTTATTTATTATTGTTGTTGCTGTTTTATTGTTTTTCAAGACAGGGTTTCTCTGTGTAGCCTTGGTTATCCTGAAACTCACTCTATAGACCAGGCTAAACTTGAAATTAGAGATCTTCCTGCCTCTGCCTCTTGAATGTGGAGATTAAAGTCTAGCACCATCACACATGGCTATTTTATTTTATTTTATTGTGACAAGGTCTCCTGCCGGGTGTTGGTAGCGCACGCCTTTAATCCCAGCACTCGGGAGGCAGAGGCAGGCGGATCTCTGTGAGTTCGAGGCCAGCCTGGTCTACAGAGCGAGTTCCAGAACAGAGAAACCTTGTCTCGAAAAACCAAAAAAAAAAAAAAAAAAGGTCTCCTATAGCTCAGGCTGGCATCTAACCTACTATGTAGCTGTGGATGACCTTGAACTCTTGATCTTCCCAAATGCTGGGATTACAGGTATGTGCCACCATCGCCAGTTTATGCTTCCTGAATGCAAGGCAAACACTCTAGCAGCTGAACTATGGCCTAACCCTATTTTTACTTTTTGAAACTCGGTTTGACATGCAACTCATGTAAGCCTTGAACTCATGATCCTCCTCCATCAGCCTCCCTATTGTTGAGATTACAGATATTCATTACCAGTCAGTTCTAATTTTTTGTTTTGTATTTTACCTCAAGGTCAGGGCTCTAAACTTGCTGGATAAGCACTATGCTGCTGAGACACACAGTCAGCTCTTTTTTTTTATTTTGGGGTGGGGTAGGTTCAAGGCAGGGTTTCTCTGTGGCTTTGGAGACTGTCCTGGAACTAGCTCTTGTAGACCAAGCTGATCTCGAACTCACAGAGATCCATCTGCCTCTGCCTCTCAGAGTGCAGGGACCAACCGTGTGCGCCACCACCACCCGGCCTTGGCTTAATTTTGATTCTAGAACTGAGCAAAACTTTTCCCACACAGCAGAATTTAGTGTTCCACTACACATTACTCTTCCACTCATCAGGGAGAATAGAGAAGGAGACCAAAGCCCACACACCAACCACACTGCATGCAATGGAGGACCCAGGATAGGCTGCGACCATCTGGTCCTAGACTATCGATGAGCCAAGGGGCTAGGTTACAGAACCAGCACGACCTCAGCTAAGACATGCACAGGTGGCCTCCTGCCAGACCACCGCGATACTGGTCCTACTAATTGGAGAAGGTGGAGATGACACATGGCTTACCTGGTTTCCTTCTCAGACAAGGTGACCTTCTCTGTGAGATAGTCAAAGAGTTCCCCTTTCTTCATCCTGCAGGAACAAAGTGTTCCTTAGCTGCCCTCAGAAATGTGTTCCCACCCTGATGCCACCAAAGGTAAGGTGGGCTGTTCCTCTGAGGGAAGGAACCCCGGGGAGGGAGTGGAGGAGCTGTCCAGGAAGAATTGGAAGAAAACTTACGAGGTTGTGAAAACACAATGTCCCTGCTTGTGGAAATGCATGGCACCCTGGAATCTGTTAGCCCCGGGAGTGGGAGATAGGCTTCGGAGGAAGTCTCTGGCCCAGGACCCCAGATCAAGAGGACTTGGGGGATTTTTGTCAGGAAGCAAATGGAAAGAATCAACAGTGTTAAGTGTTGAAAGTTTGCCCATAATATGAAAAGAGCCAGCTGTGACAGCGTAAACCTGCAAACCTAGTACTTGGTAAATGGCAGCAGGAGAATTAGGAATAAAAGACCAGCCTCAGCTACATAGTGAGTTGGAGGCCACCTTGGGCTACATGAAACCCTGTCTCAAAAAATAGAAACAGAGGCTGGAGAGATGGTTCAGCAGTTAAGAGCACTTGCTGTTCTTCTGGAGGACCTAGGTTTGGTTCCCAGCACCCATGTTAAGCCGCTCACAACTGCCTATAACTCTAGCTCCAGGGGATTCAGGACAGCCCTTGCTTCCACAGGCATGTGCACTCGCACATATACACACTTACACATAACTAAAGACAATGAAAATAGAAGGTTTGCCGGGTGTTGGTGGTGCACACCTTTAATCCTAGCACTCGGGAGGCAGAGGCAGGCGGATCTCTGTGAGTTTGAGGCCAGCCTGGTCTACAAAGAGTTCCAGGACAGTCTCCAAAACAATACAGAGAAACCCTGTCTCGGAAAAAAAAAAAAAAAGAAAATAGAAGGTTTAAATAATGGAGGGACAGGCCACTCCTGGTGGGGAAGGCCATCAACCCCAGCCCTATAGGCTTACCTACAGCTGGATTTTTTTTTTTTTTTTGGTTTTACAAGACAGGGTTTCTCTGTATTGTTTTGGAGGCTGTCGGTCCAGCCCGGCTTCGAACTCACAGAGTGCTGGGATTAAAGGTGTGCGCCACCAACGCCTGGCTTACAGCTGGATTTTATGGAGGCGTTTTCTCAATTGAGGCTCCCTCCTCTCCAGTGACTCTAGCTTGTGCTGGCGCACAGGGTGTCTTCTCTGTATGTCACAGTTAATTTAATGAAAGGATTTACTTGAGAAAATTATGACATGTTTGTAATGCAGAAACATTTCATATGGTAACTGCTGAGCCCTTCAGTGTTTTCTGTTTCCTCTCATTATTTATGTAAGAAAAAAAAACTGAGACAGGGTCTCACACTGCTACACCAGCTAGCCTCAAATCCATAGCAATAATCCTGCTGCCTTACCTTCCTGAGTGCTTGGGTTATAGGACTGTACCACTGTGCCCAGGTTTATCTTTTCCTGTTTAGCCACAGGACGGGCTCCTAGGCCCCTCCCCTGCCCAACTGTATTCACAGTGCTCTGTCCTGCATGTCCTCTGGGGGCAGCTCAAATGTCTTTAACCTTTACAGAGGTGGCTCGGAGAAGCTATTTTTACTGATGTCCCGAGGAGCCCTACAGGGTAACACTAGATTGCTCTGTTGGAGACAATGTTCTAGATCAGAAAGCTAGAAAGACTGAATTGAATATCTTTTGGGTTTTGTTTTCTGAGACAAGGTGTGGCTTCAAATTTTTGACCCTTTTGCCTCAATCCCCCAAGAGCTGGCACTGGAGATATGTGCCACCAAGCCAGGCTTCCGAGAGTGGGCCTCTCCTCTCCCCCCACCCCTTGTCCCTCCTGTTCTCCCTCCTCTCCCATCCCATCCCCTTATTTGGTTGTTGGTTTGTTTTTGAGATAGGGCCTCTGTATATACTCTGACTGGCCTGGAACTCACTATGTAGACCAGACAGGCCCCAAACTCACCAATATTCATCATCTTCTGCATGCCAAGTGCTGAGATTAAAGGCATGCACCATCACATGCAGAGGAAATTTATTTTCTTTCTTACTCTCCTTCCTTCCTTCCTCTTTTATTTATCATCATCATCATTATTATTATTTGCTCTTTTTTTTGTTTTTTTTCGAGACAGGGTTTCTCAGTATTGTTTTGGAGGCTGTCCTGGAACTCACTCTGTAGACTAGGCTGGCCTCGAACTCACAGAGATCCGCCTGCCTCTGCCTCCCGAGTGCTGGAATTAAAGGCGTGCACCACCAACGCCCGGCTCCAGCTGGTTTTTTTCAAGACAGATTTTTTTCTCTGTCTTGGAACTCACTCTGTAGTCAAGGCTTGCCTCAGACTCAGAGGTCTGCCTGCCTTTGCCTCCCAAAGGCATGTGTCACCACCACCTGGCAAAAATTTTTTTGAATAGAAATTGATCATAGCTGGGCAGTGGTGCACGCCTTTAATCCCAGCACTCTGGAGGCAGAGGCAGGTGGATCTCTGTGAATTTGAGACCAGCCTGGTCTACAAGATCTAGTTCCAGGACAGCTTCCAAAGCCACAGAGAAACCCTGTCTCAAAGAAAGGAGGAGGAGGAGAAGGAGGAGGAGGAGGAGGAGGAAGAAGAAGAAGAAGAAGAAGAAGAAGAAGAAGAAGAAGAAGAAGAAGAAGAAGAAGAAGAAGAAGAAGAAGAGGAAGAAAGAAAGAAAGAAAGAAAGAAAGAAAGAAAGAAAGAAAGAAAGAAAGAAAGATTGATTGATTATTCTCTGGTGCACAGTTCACATGCACTTTGCATAGTTATCATTGTTCCCTGTTGGTTTTGAGACAGGGTCTTGTTAAGTAGCCCAGGCTGGTCTGATACTCAGTATGTATCCCTGGCTGGCCATGAACTTGAAGGAATTCTCCTATCTCAGTTTCTGAATGCTGAGATTACAAGTGTGTGCCACTATGCCAGGTTTTGTGTTGCTTATATTTGATGCTTAGTGACAAGGACCTCCCATCCCTCATCCTGTGGGTGCAAATGCAGAGTGATGATACTGGTCTTTGGACAACACACTAAATGTCATCTCAACCACTCGCTTCTCCCTTCCATTCTCTTTCCACTCTTTCCTTCCTCAACTTATCCCCAGAAACCGACTAGTACCAGCTGTGGTGGTCATGCCTGTAATTTCAGCACTCTAGAGGCTGAGGCAGGGGGATGGTGAATTCAAGGTCAGTCTAGGCTAAGAGCAGGTCCCAGAGCTTTTCGTAAAGAGAAGCTGCCTCCAAAGAAAAGAAAGAGAGGGTCAGGCAGTGGTGGCTCACACCTCTAATCCCAGTACTCAGGAGGCAGAGGCAGGTGGATCTCTGTGAGTTCGAGGCCAGCCTGGTCTACAGAGAAAGTAAAAAAACAAACATACACACACACACACACACACACACACACACACACACACACACACACACACACATCCATAAGTAGTATTCTAGGTTTCAAACCTGGCAGAGAGGCCCTGAATCAACTGGTGATTTTGCATGGTATTTCATCATGGGAATTGGGGGACTGATGTTGGCCCCTAACAGCCTGGTAGGGGCCCGTGTCCGGCTTCATAAGCCCCAGGGTACTGGTGCTCCAGGATTGGGTACTTACAGATCAAATACCAAGAAGAAGAAAGTGTTGGTCTCGTAAGTGTCCTTCAGCTGTACTGAAATGGAAAAGGGTAGCTGGTCTCAAGGAGCAGAGGAGACTTGGCAGGCGCCACAGGGACCAGGCAGGGTGGCTTCAAAGGTAGAGGTAGGAATGTGATGGGGTTTCAGGGCAATCACTGAGGTGTGGGAAGGACCCCTTCCTCACCTGCACCCACCCCCCACCCTGTCTGAACCCACCCCGTCTGAGTAGTGAGGGTGGCCCCTGTGACCTAGAGCTGCAGCAATGGGCTGGCAGAGAGAGCCGCTGAGCACGAGGTGCAGAGGGAAGGGTACAGCTGGCCACGAGGTGGTGCTCGTGCCCCGACTGCAAAGCATGCTGCCAGGGTTTTGTGGGGCAGTGGGGCTGGGAAGGTCTACTCACTGATGTTGGGGTGTCCCGAGACCTTCTTCAGGATGTCCACCTCCTTCAGTGTGGCTTCCCGAAGTTCCTGCACCTCCTGGGAGCTGAAGCTGCCTCCGCCTGTGATGTCGATGATTTTGACTGCATACTCCTGGCATGTGGGTTTGTGGATACAGCGCCTGACCACACTGCTGACTCCCCTGGGGGCAGAGAACAGATGGCCTCGGGACCCCACACTCCAGGGGAGTCCCTTAGCAAGGGCAGTACAGGGGCTAGAGAGAAGGTTCTGCGATTAAGAGCACTTGTTGAAAAAAAAAGCACTTGTTGCTCTTTCAGAGAACCCGAGTTCAGTTTCCAGCAACCACATAACTACTAACAACTGTCTGAAATTCCAGGGGATCCCACACCCGCTTCTGACCGCTGAGGACACCAGACATGCTTGTAGTGCACAAACATTTGGGCAAAACACTGTACTCATAAAATAAAACTAAAGTCAATCAGTAAATGAAGGGCACAGATGTTCTGTCCTGTGTTGCAACACATACTTCCCTTCTCACCCTGAGGGGAGGAGCAAAGGGGACAGAAATGGGGCTAGTGCTGAGGGTGGCGCCAATCATTCCGAATCATAGTGATGAGGTCAGGGTTTCCGCAGGTGACCCGGGTCTTACCTGCCCAAGACCTCCTTGGGCTCATAGTTCTCATAGAAACTCTGTGCAGAATGCGAGTCAGGGAGGGCCTCATCCCGGGTCATGCTCAGTGGGTCTCTGGGTGACTCCGAGGGTCTCTGAAAGGGTTACAGAAAGAAGCCGTCAACTCCCCCACCCCTCCCACCTCCCTTTCTCTGTCTCTCTCTCTCTCCAGAGTTACTCTGTGTAGCCCTGGTTGTCCTGGAACTCACTTTGTAGACCAAGCTGGCCTCAAACTCAAACTCAGAGATTTGCCTATCCCTGCCTCCCAAGTGCTGAGATTAAAGGTGTAGACCACTAAGGCCTGTCTCTTCTTATTTAAAAGATTTTTTTTTCAAACATATAGGGCAGGGTGGTAATGAACCATGCCTTTTTTTTTTTTTTTGGTTTTTCGAGACAAGGTTTCTCTGTGGCTTTGGAGGCTGTCCTGGAACTCACTCTGTAGACCAGGCTGGCCTCGAACTCAGAGATCCGCCTGCCTCTGCCTCCCGAGTGCTGGGATTAAAGGTGTGCGCCACCAACGCCCGGCTATGAACCATACCATTAATCACAGCTCTGAGGAGCAAAGGCAGGTAGATCTCTGTGAGTTTGAGGCTGGCCTGGTTTACAGAGCAGGTTCTAGGACAGCAACAGCTACAAAGAAAAACCCTGTCTTCAAAACAAAACAAAACAAAACAACACACACACACACACACACACACACACACACCCCAAAAAAAGCAAGCAAAGCAAAAAAACAGGCCAAGTGGCCAGCCTGGTCTACATAGCAAATTCTAGGTCTTCCAGGGCTACATGAGACCTTGTATCAATTTTTTTAAAAAAGGGAGGAGGGGGGAGAATACTGGAAAGAAAGCTCAGTGACTAAAACCAATGGCTGCTGTTTCTGAGGACCCAGGTTTAAATCCCAGCACACACACATGGCAGCTTACCGCCATCTATAATTCTAGTTCCAGGGGATCTGATGTCCTCTCTGGCCTTCCAGGGGACCAGGCACATAAGACCAGACAAAACAGCCATACACATAAAATCAAAATAATCTTTTTTTAATCAAAATAATCTTACTAAAGAAAGCCACGCGTCGTATCTGAGCCGGGTGAGGGCTGGGTCTTTCAGCTTCTGGTGTCGTCTCCATTAGACTGTGATGATTAGGCCTTTGTGCCCTCTGCCCAGCACAGGTGTGTGACAATTGCTGAGTATAATTCAATGAACAGGTAATCTACTGGCACAGGCCTTAACAGATGGAAAATGCCCTAGACACTACCAACAATGACCAGAAAGCCCTAGGGAGTCCTGGAGCAGTTTGAACAAAATTTTTTCTTTCTGAGACAGGGCCTAAAGCTCAGGGATCCACGTGCCTCTGCTCCCCAGTGCTGGCCTTAAAGGCGTGTACTTCCATACCTGGCATGAGAGGCTTACTCTTATTTTTATCTATTTACTTTTGGTTTTCAAGAAAGGGTTTCTATGTAGCCCTGGATGTCCTGAAACTCATTCTGTAGACCAGGCTGGCCTTGAACTCATAGAGATCCACCTGCCCCTGCCTCCCCAGTGCTGGGATTAAAGGTGTGCGCCATCATTTCCTGGCTCTCTCGTTCTTATTTTTAGGTGCTGGGGATAGAACCCAGAGGCTTGTACATGCTAGGCAAGCACTCAACCACTGAGCTACACCCTCAGGCCAGAGTCAGGGTTGGTCAGGAGTGGATGTGGAGAAGCTAAGCTGACCCATCTTGCTGCAGGAACATAGAGGCTCCTACCAGGAAACTCCTGCTTCAGACCCAGGGTTTGAGAAAGACAGAAAATCACCCAGCAATAGGGAGAGGCAAGCAGCCAACAGTCCACTTCCGTGAGCCTGAGAAGGCCTGGTCTCCCAAGAGGCCCAGTCTGCTGACCAGCCACGTAGCAGCCCTGGCTGCCTCAAGCTGGCTGTTGCAGGAAGCCTGGTGTCCCAGCTACCGGGTGCCTGGTTACCAAAAGAAGGCATAGAATAACAAGTGCCGCCTTTGCCAATTGCAGGAACCTGGCCTGTGCACACCAACAGCCAACAGTTCCCCTCAACAACAAGCCTGTTTACTGAAAAGGGCGTTCTAAAACCCCCAGGGTGTGTGTGTGTGCCCCTCACCTAGTATGACAGTCACTTAGATCCCTTGCATAGGCATAGAGCAATTCTCCGCCTATACCAGGATCCCATCCTGAGCCAGGCTGGGCCACATTCTGGCTGCACTCACATTTTCTAATCATGTGTGTGTCCATCTCCCTGTTCTTTTTTTGGGGGGGGAGAGGGGGTTGGTTTTTTGAGACAGGGTTTCTCTGTAGCTTTGGAACCTGTCCTGGAACTCATTTGGTAGACAGGCTGGCCTGGAACTCACAGAGAGATCTGACTGCCTCTGCCTCCCCGAGTGCTGGGACCACTACCCGACCCATCTTCCTTTTCTTAAGGTTTTACTGTAGCCAACAATGGGTCTCTATTTCCTGCTTCATTGGCCTTTACACTTGTTCCAAGATTCCCTGGGGGGGGCATTCTAAATAAGGATAGGTGTCTTGGAACCTACTATCCCTCCCAGAAAACTAGCCAGAGAGCATAGCCAGCAGCGTGATCTGTAGGTAACTGCCTGTCAGATGTTCTGAGAAGCTGTGCTCTCCCAGGTCTGAGGAGAAATGGGACAAACAGATTTGAGGCTTTCTGTCTTTGCCTCAAAATCCCACTGCTCCCGGACTGCTGCCTCCATACTCACTGTTATGTATGTCCTTGTAGGCTCTTGGATGAAGGTAATAATTCCAGGGTCCTGGAGCCCTCTGGAGACAGGGGACCACGAAGGCCTGGAGCTGTGTCCTGAGCAGACACTTGTGCTTGGAGTTGCTGTCTTTCTCCTCTTCTGGGACTTGGTACTTGGTGATGGAAGGCTGGCCTGCCAAAAATAAACCACAACTGCAAAGTCGGGATGCCGGCCAAGGTCCAGTAGGGATACCCCTAGGGCAAAAGTGCATCAGGTGCGCCACCTGGTGACGGCTAGGGAAAGCTCCAGTGGCTAGGGGTCAGGCAAAGCCTGGTTTTTTACATTTTTAATTATGCACACGGAGTGCAGGTGCCTGGAGAGGCCAGAGGTGTTGGATTTCTCTGGAGCTGGAGTTATGGATGGCTTTAGCTATCTCTTGTGGGTGCTGGAAACCAAACTCAGGAAAAGCAGTACTATGACCTTACTGGTTGAGCCAGTTTTCCAGCTGTGTTTTAAGTTTTTTTTTTTTTTTTTATGTGTATGAGAATCTTTTGCTGGCAGTATATATGTGTACCACAGGAATGCCTTATATCCTGAGGCCCGAAGAGGGCATTGGGTCCCCTGGAACTGGACTGTTATAAGCCAGTATGCGAGTCTGGAAACTGAACTCAGGTCCTCTGAAAGAGCAGCAAGCGCTCAACATGACCTACCCACCTCTGGGGCCTGGCAACACTGGCTTTGAAAGGAGTGCACCGTTGTTTTTAAAGAGACTTGCTCCAGCCTGGTCTACAAAGTGAGTTCCAGGACAGCCTCCAAAAGCCCTGACTACCCTCCAATTTGCCTCTGCCTTTCTGTGTTGGGATTGTAGGCGTTCACCACCAAGCATGGCAATGACCTTGTATTTCTCCTCAGATTCAACTCCTCGAAGATTGCCTGCTTCGAATTGGGATTATGTGTACCACCATGACCAGTTGGGCTTAAACCTGGGGCAATCCAAGGAATAGGGCTACAGTTTGGAGCACTGTGACCAAGCTTTCCTGAGGTACTGGACTCAATACCAAGCATAGAAAGGTGAGTTTAGCCTAGTTTCGCAAGAAGTAGAAATATCCAAACTACAGAGAGACAGGCTTATATAGAGGATGGTTTTAAACTGTGTAATCCCACCACTTAGGAGGCTGATACAGGATAAGCAGTTTAGGCCGATTTGGACTACATAGGGAAACCCTGTCTCAAAGGTACACAAAAGAAAAAGGCTTCAGCCAATTTAGTGTAGTAACACACAGTAATGATGTGGTCACAGGGGGCCCATCCTGTTATGTCTTGTTTATCACTTACCCACTTATCTGTTGGTAAGGCTTTTGATAGGCCCCAGAGCCTGGTGAATGCTTGCCCAAGCTGCTACTATCTCACACATTCCCTAACACACCGTTAAGCACATGGTAAAGGTAAAATGTTCTGTCTTTTCCATTAAAGGGTTAACTAAGATTCCACATAGCAGGGTGTGGTGATACCTTTAGTCCCAGCACCCAGGCCGGTACATAAACTGCCCTGAAAAGACCACCGTATGGAAATGCAGGGCTACATGGCTCATGGTTAGGAGCACTGGCTGCTCTGGCAGCACTCATGCTGTTTCTAGCACCCTCATGGTTGCTCTCAACGATTTGCAACGGCATGCAGCTACAGGGGATCTAGTTTTCCATCCTGAGGGTGCTACACAGTGCACTTATATACACCCAGGCAAATGCTCATAAACAAAACAAAAACTTGCAAACAAGCCATTTGGCAGCAACGAAAAATCACTTGAGAATCTGTATCTTTTTTTTTTTTTCAGAGACAGTGTTTCACTGTTTAGCTAGCTAAGGCTGTCCTTGAACTCAGAGATCCGCCTGCCTCCACCTTCCGAGTCCTGGGATTAAAGGTGTGAGCCACAACTGCTGGGCTAAGAATCAGTATTTTCTGAAATGAAAAAAAAAAGTTGTACTGAGTGCCAGCCAACTCCTTGAGTGAGGCTACGGTCTGACACAGTGAGGGAAGCCAGGCAATAGTGGTGCACCCCTTTAATCCCAGCATGCAAGAGATAGAAAAAGGCAGATCTCTGTGAGTCTACAGAACCAAGTTCCAGGACAGCCACGGCTACACAGAGAAACCCTGTCTTGAAAGAAAAATAAAACAAAACAAAAAACCAACCAGGAGGGATCCTTGTTGGGTGTGCTTGCTTGCAGGATTTTACATTGATATGTACCCTTCTGTAGAAGTTAAGTTTATGGGACCCTGAGCCTGGAGCAGCTAAAACCACTTAAATATGAGCAGCATGACTGATGATGAACTTTTTACCAAGTAGCAACAGAATAATTTTATGAATGGGGTTTTCCACTACATGAGGAAATATATTAAAGTGTCCAGCATTATGAAAGTTGAGACATGCAGATATAGCTGTATTCTTGCACAAACTCCAAGGTCACTACCACACCACAGAATCAAACAATTTTATTTTCATTAACTCACAAAAAACAATACAGTTGGTTCAATGAGGCCATCATTTGCCCGTTCTTCAACACTACAAGCTGAGTGAATAACTATATAGTTAGGACTCTTTCATGGCTATTCTGAAATAATGGAGCTATTAGAAATAAGGTTTGTTTACTCAGGGTCCACACTTGCACTATAAATTAGGCAGAGTCCATTTCAATTTCTTCAGTTTGAACTTCTTGATTAGATTAAACCTGTTAAAAAAAAACATTAAGTTAGAAGATGCCCAGATACACTGTTTTCTTTTCTAAGACATGTACATTTTCCTTTAATCAAACATCAATTCTATCCTTGGCAGAACCGAGACATGGCACATGTGTTTCTAGAGACAAAAGCTTGAAGCAGAAAAGTTCTAATCATTTTAGACAGGTTTGCCCTCTTCCCCTCCCTCCCACAACCCATAAGGTGCGAAAACAAAAATTGTAATTAATAGACAGAGAACTTCTGAAATTACAAGAGAAACCACAGAAACAATGTGACTGTCAACCCTCCAGGAAGTCTAATCAAGAGTTCTGCTTGTCCTGGCTGGTGATGGCCTTTAATCCAGAACTCAGAAGGCAGAGGCAAGTGGACCTCTGTGAGTTTGAGGCCAGCCTGGTCTACTGAGTGAGAGCCAGGACAGCCAGGACAACACAGAGAAACCTGTCTTGAAAAACGAAAGTTCTACTTGGGAACTTAATTTCAAAACTCCGTAAGGTTCAGGACTGTCATTCTGAGCAGATGGACAGGTCACCTACCATTTGCAATTCTACACTGTCTCAACACCTCATTGAAGCCCTCGCAGAGTTTGACGTCACTCTGGTTCTGGGCACATTCCAGAAACTGTTTGATCTCAAGAGAGCATGGCCCTCGAGACTGCTGGTCCAGAAGCTGGGTTCCCTGGGGCTCCTGCAACGACATAGTATTAGGTAGTTTGGGGTAGTTTGTTCAGTACACACAAGGCTCTGGACTTGATCTTAACACTGTAAACACATACACATATAAAAAATGGAGCCAGGCAGTGGTGGTGCATGCCTTTACTCCCAGCACTAAGACCTAGAGGCAGATGGATCTCTGAGTTCTAGGCCAGCCTGGCCTAAAGAACTAGCACCAGGACACTGAAGGCTATAACGGACACAAAAAATCTGTATTAAAACAAGCAAACAAGCCAGGCGGTGATGGCGCATGCCTTTAATCCCAGCACTGGGTAGGCAGAGGCAGGTGGATCTCTGTGAGTTCAAGGCCGGGCTGGACCGACAGCCTCAAAAACAATACAGAGAAACCCTGTCTCGAAAAAACAAAACAAAAAAAAATCAAACACATACACTAAAACAAACCTGGCTAGAGATTTTGTGCTTTGACCTGGGTTTGAACCCCACCATTACAAATATATATACAGAAAAAGGAGAACCATTCTTAAGGAAAAATAGAACTATTATTGGAAAGAGATGGAGAACTTCAGATACACCATATTTCAAGAGATTACATGTTCCTTAGTACATACAAAATGCATACAGGGGGTGGGGATGGGAGTAGGGGTGGTGTGTGTGTGTGTGTGAGTGAAAAGTATCAGGTCAGGGGTCATAAGCTGTGAAAGGGACTTGTGATTATGTAACAGAGACTGCACTCAAAGACCAGCCCTTGTGGCTGTAATTCCAACACTTGAGAAGCCAACCAAGGAGACTGCTACAAGCTTGAAGTCAGCTTGGGTCACACACTGAAGACTTAGTCTCCAAGTGAAACAACAGGAACCCAGAATAAGTGTAGCCAAGATAAAGCCAAGGCAGGTGGCTGGAGCAATGGCTCAGAGGTTAAGAGCATTGGCTGCTCTTCCAGAGGTCCTCAGTTCAACTCCCAGCAACCACATGGTGGCTCACAACCGTATATAATAAGATCTGGTGCCCTCTTCTGGCATGCAGATATACATGCATGAAGATGGCCATGAGCTCAGGGCTATCTTGAGATCCTCTCAAAACAAAAATCACTTAAAGAGGAAAATGATTCCAGTCTGTTTTACTTATTAATGTTTGTCTAAAGGTTAAACTCAAGTCATGCCATGCGGCTTTTCTGTGTGATGCTCAAACACGAGTGTGTGTGGGTGTGTGTGCCCAAGGGGAGGCCAACCAAGACATGGGGTGTCTTTCCTCTACCACTCTCCATCCTATTGCCTTGAGACAGGGCCTCTCACTGAAACGGTCATTTCATCCCAACCGCCAGCCAGCCAAGCTGAGGGATCTGCTCGTCTCCCTCCACAATGCAGGAGTTACAGGGATGTATGGCTACGCCTGACCTTTTGTGGTTCACACATGGGTTTTGATCTCGGGTATGCATGGCTTCAGAGTAAGTGCTTATTCACTGAGCCATACCCCCAGCAGCCCCCACTTAGCAAAAGGGAGGGGGAGGCACACCACTTTGTACTTATAACCGTGGATCCTAAAAGTAAACATGCAAGTTCTTAGCAGCTGCCCAGTGTTAACACAGAAAGGAAGAGCTGCCCCAAGTCTTACCTGGTAAGTGATGTCAGGCCTTGCAGGCTCGGCACTGCCTCCTCCACCGAAGCCCCCAGTGATGGCGTGACCCAGGGTGTGACCCACTGCAGAGCCCACGGCCACACCAGCTGCAGTGGTTGCCATCTGGGCCATCAGGCCTGGCTGCCTGGGTGCAGCAGCAGGGGAGCCAACTGCGGATGGTGCGGCTGCTGCTGCTGGAGGATGAGCTGCAGGCGCATGTCTCGGAGCAGCCCTCATCTGAGGGGCCCGGCTAGGAAAGAAGAGAACAAAACTTGTCAGATCCCAGTTCCAAATGGCTGTGGCCTTTACTGAAGGAAGGCAACAAGCCAGGTTTGGTGGCACACGCCTGTAACACCAGCACTGTCATGGTAGAGGCAGGGAGAACCAATAGGCCAAGGTCACCCTCAGCTGCAGAGGGATCTCTTCTCTTCACTAATGTTTCTCAGAGCATAATAACTGCAACATTTCTACCCTCCCTCCAAACATCCCTCCTTGACTGACTTCAAATTCATGGCCTGTTTTCATTAGCAGTTATTAGATGCATAACTATGTGTATACATATACATTTTTATATAGCACCTCAGTCTGTATGTTACTTTTATGTGTCTGTGTTCAGGGCTGACCCTCTGGTACTGGATAACTAATGTGTGTGCTCTAACTGGGGAAGACCATTTCTCCTGCTCTCAGTAATCCTTAGTTGCTTGTAGTTCCTCATCTAGGTTGAGGCCTTGTGAGCTTTTCACCACACATACACCTTGGTATATCTACTGTCATTCTCATTCTACATCATTATCTTAAGACCAGTCTGAGAAAGGATACCTTGCTCTCAAAAAGTAAACACCAACCAACTGTAACCAAAACAACAGCTAGCTCTGAACCTATGAAGCCTCCTAAATCAGCCTTATTCAGTGCTGGGATTAGTGCTGTCACTCCACCTGGCATCATTTTAAATCTTATTTTATTTTTATATTTTACAATTATTTACATGCATCTATGTCTGTGTACTATTTGCATGCCAGAAGAGGGCTTTGGATCACCTGGACCTGGAGTTAGATGGTTGTGAGGGACCCACGTTGGTACTGAGTCTCAAACCTGGGTCCTCTGGAAGATCATCAGTCAGTGCTTTAACTATAAAGCCAATTTTCCAATCCCATTTTATTTTTTTGGTTTTTAAAGATGGGGTTTCTCTGTGTAGTTCTTGTAGGCCAGGCTGATCTGGAACTCACAGAGATCTGCCTACCTCTGCCTCCAGAGTGAGGGGATTAAAGGCCACCATCACCTGGTTGGTTCCAGCCTCATTTTAAATTATCTTTTGCTTCCTTGTGTTTGTTGACAGGGTTTGTGTGGTCCTGGCCATCCTGAACACACCTTGTCTCCCAAGCACTGGAATAAAGGCACGTGTCACAACTACTTTTAAGTATATATACCCTGTGAGTTCGAAGGCCAGCCTGGTCTACAGAGCGAGTTCCAGGACATCCTCCAAAAAATACAGAGAAACCCTGTCTCAAAACAAAAAACAACAACAACAACAAAAAAAGTATATATACCACACAAGCAAGAAGACTATAGAAACTTGTTTTCCCTAACTGATTATACATATATAACACTGTACCTCTTCAATCTCTGTTAAGTGCCCCCCCCCCCCTGCAAGATAGGGTGGGTTTCTTTGTGTATTCTTTGTTGTTCTAGAACTAGCTCTGTAAACCAGGCTGGCCTCAAACTCACTAAGGTCGACCTGCCTCTTCCTCCTGTGAGTTGGGATCAAAGGTGTCCACAACCAACCTTGCTAAAGTTATAATCAAGTATAAACTTTTTTGTCCCTTTAAAAAGACTATAATGAGATCTGATGCTCTCTTCTGTCAGGCAGGCATACATGTAGACAGAACCCTTATACATAATAAATCTTTAAAAAGAAAGAGCAAGAAAGAAAGAGAGAGAGAGAAAGAAAGAAAAAGAAATGGCTCACTGGAGAAAGGTGTTTGCTGCCAAGCCTGGCAACCTGAGTTAGAACCCTGGAATCCACAAGGAAGTAAACAAACAACTCCCACAAATTGCCCTCTGACCTTCACACAAGATACAGACACAAAGCAATTTAGAGCTTGGCTTAGCAGGACATTTTCCTAGCAGGCATGGGACCCTGGGTTGGCTAAACTAGAAAGAAAACATACAGAAGGCATTGGCTTGGCAAAATATAGCTGTAGTCTCAGCTATTCAGTGGGGGGATAAGATCATTTAGCACATGGCTTTGGGACCAGCTTGGACATTGGAAAAAGGCAGTCAAAAGTCAACAAAAATCCAAGGCAGTCATGTGCTAATGCTCAGAAGGTAGACCACTCTACCTACCAATCAGTAAGGTTAAGGCAGCTGGGTATGGTGTGGTGGCCCACACCTTTAATTCCAGAATTCAGGAGACAGGTGGATGGATCTAAGTTTCAGGACAGCCAGGGCCACAATGAAACCTTTTATCAAAGAAACAAAGCAAAGCACCAACCCAAACCAAAAAGAAAAACTTAGGGACAATGACCTGTCTGAACAGCAACTTCTATAAATCTTATTTCTCTTTTAGCTGGGTCTCTTCATGCTATCCTGAATTGGTGCCAATTCTTGCCTTTGGGGAGACAGGGGCATGAGGATCTACCTTGGCGGTAGATGGGACATTCCCTTACCATATAGACAGTCCTCAGGTTCCCTCCTAATACAACAACAATTCTTAACTTTCAATGATTTTTATTCCCCAAAATGAAACATGTTTTTTGTTTGTTCGGTTTTTTGAGACAGGGTTTCTCTGTATAGCTGTGGCTGGGCACTGGCTCTGTAGACCAGGCTGGCCTCGAACTCACAGAGATCCGCCTGCCTCTGCGTCTGGAGAAGGGACTAAAAGTGTGCGCCACCAATGCCCGGCCAAAATGAAACATATGTAATTCTGGCGCTGTCAACAATTTCCTACTTATCTTCATGTGGGCCGAGGATATGTCTCAATAGAGCCGTCGCCACTAAGTGTTAAGATATTCTGGACCGAAGTGGTGGAAGGAACTATTTAATTTTTTTTTTGTAGAGACCTTTAAAGCCTGTAATCCCAGTCATAAGGAATCGGAGTCAGGAAAATCAAGGAAGGTTAGCCGGTGGACCTCAGACACAGTAAAACAAAACCACCCCAGCTGGGCGTTAGTGGCGCACGCCTTTAGTTCCAGTATTCGGAAGGCAGAGGCAGTTAGATCTCTGTGAGTTTGAGGCCAGCCTGGTCTACAGAGCGAGTTCCAGGACAGCCAGGGCTACACAGAAGCCCTATCTCAGAAAAGGAAAAAAAGAAAGAAAGAAAGAAAAGGGGGTAGGGGTGGAGAGAGAAAGGAAAGAAGGAAAGACAGAAGAAATAAGAAAGCCACCTCAAGACCTTCCCCTAAATCCTCCTTTCCCCGCTCTTTGTAGGCTACTAAGGCCCTTCCCCCCACCCCCAAGCAGTCTAGGAGAAAGTTCACGCTTTAGCGTCCTCTTCCGTAGAGCACAGAGCCTGTGACCCTGTCCTCGGGGATCCCGCACCGGGGAAGAGTCCCTCATTGCTCGCACTGCCTCACCCCCGGCCGCCTTCGCAGCTCTCTGGCTAAGGAACGTCGCCCTGGCGGCCCGCGCTCAGTCCCCAGCCCCCAGGAGGAGCTCACCTGGCCGGAGGGGCCACCCGGGAAGAGCGGCTTCGGCTTCCACGCGGCATCCTGGGCGCCCACACACTCTTGAGTCCAAAGACGACAAACTGCGAAACGCTCACCAGCGTCCAGCAACTTCTACCAAGGAGAGCGGAAGACGGGAGGCGGGTTCTCAGAGGGCAGCCAATCAGCGCCCAAGAGAGCACGAGCGCTGAAGGTCATTGGGAGATCAAGACGTCGGTAACGGGGAACGCCGTGGTGCTACGCCAGGAAGTCAAGAGCTTGGCGACCAGGCCCCAGAGCTAACCGGAAGTTCCTGGGGTTGCGCTCTCAATTCTTGTCCCCCATTCTGTGCTGAATTGTTAGGTTTCTGCTTCCCCCACGACTCAGGCTGACCTTGATTTTAAGATCCACCTGCTTCCGCCTCTCCAGGAAACTGGATTGGGGTACAGGCATATACCGCCATGCCTACCGAGTTAACAAATTGAAATGCAACCTTGACTGAGTCATCCTTTGCCTCGTCTACCAGAGGGCCTTGGACTGTTTACTTAACCCTTCTCAGATTGTTTTGTTTTGCGACAAGGCCTCACATAACGGGTGTTAACCCGGAAGTCGCCGTTCTCATGACTCAGTCCGCTACTGCTGGCGCTGCGGGAGAAACTCATATTAAAAGTGATGTTGTAAAGGATTTCCTAATAAACGTGTTTGAAAATATTAAGTTAAACAAAGTAGAATCTAGCTAAAGGAGCCCTGGCTCCAGTGTGACTGGAAGATAGTGTACTAACCAGGCTTGTTAGAAACTGTGGGAAAGGTGTTGGAGAGATGGCTGGCTGCACTTCCATAGAAGCCGGGTTCAGTTCACAGCACCCACATGTCAGCTCACAACTGCCTGTAACTCTGGTTCCAAGGGACCCAATACCCATGGCAAAACACCAATGTGCACAAAATAAAAATAAACCAATTTAAAACACAGAGAAAGAAACTGTGGTAAAGAAAATTCTGTACCTTCATTGAAGTTTCAGGCTGCCAAGAATGTTTCTGATAATGTTTATTCACCAAGGTTGACCTCCAATTAGGTGTCATTCCCATAATAAAAGGAGACCACCAAGCCTTGGTGGTGCACGTCTTTAATCCCAGCGCTCAGGAGGCAGAAGCAGGTGGATCTCTGTGGCCAGCCTGGTCTACAAAGCTAGTTCCAGGACAGCCTCCAAAACAATACAGAGAAACCCTGTCTCGAAAAACCATAGAGAGAGAGAGAGAGAGAGAGAGAGAGAGAGAGAGAGAGAGAGAGAGAGAGAGAGAGAGAGAGAGAGAGACCACCCTGGCTCAAAACTAGCTGTGAGATCCATCTCCATATCTAAGAACATGGCTTAAAAGAAATGGTTCTCATCTAGGCTGTGGTGGCACTCACCTTTAAATCCAGCACTCAGGAGGCAGAGGCAGGTGGATCTCTGTGAATTCGAGATCAACCTGGTCTACAAGAGCTAGTTCCAGGACAGCCTCCAAAGCCACAGAGAAACCCTGTCTCAAAAAACCAATAAATAAATAAATACTAAAAATGCAAAGTGGAGAAGCAACTGAGGAAGATACATACATGAACACACCTGCACACTCATGCACACATCACACATATGTCCAACAAACAAACTGCAGTCCAGTTGCCACCACACTGGAGAAGCTCCTCCTACACAAGGGAAGATGGCTGGGCTGTCAGTTGCTCAACAATGTGACAGTCTGTTGCATTATCTATTTTAAGTGAGTGTTTAACAATGTTGTAAGGATGTCTATGAGATGCAGGCATTTACTGCCAAGGTTGAGGACTTGAGTTCAATCCCGAGAGGCATAGAAGGAAGAATCCACTCTCATAAATTATCCTCTGACTTCCAAAAGGAAAAGAGGCGGATTGTAACTGAACGTATCTCTTTAACAATTATGCTCCAACTTGCCTTAGAACCTGATACACTCTTTTAAATGGGGGGGGGGAATAGAAGGTACACTTGTAACAGGACATACCCTAATATTACTTTGTAAGGATAGGGACTGTTGCCACCCACCAGGTCCTATTGTTTGGATGAAGGAAGGAAAACAAATTGACAATTCATTTTTACCCAAATGGAAGTAGGGTAACTGGGGTGGACTAGTTTGACTGACCAGTCCCAATGTAACAATACAGACTTGAGCATAATTAAATATTTTTAACAAAATCTGATAACAGAAACTAAAAATGTACTAAGATGAAAAAGAGAAAATAGACTCCTTAGTTGCTTCCTTCAAAATTAACATACCACTGTCTATAGCTAGTAGATTGGATGCCAATTTTTGGCTCCACCTAGCGTCAAACAGCAGACAGACTAGTTCTCTTTGATTCTTCTGGGCTCTTGGGGGAAAAAACCAACATGTTGAATAGGAGTCACATATGAACATTATAACATCATACCAATTTAACAGTGGCTCAATGGAGCATGCCCCTGTAAACATTTCCAAGGTTGTAGTGATCTTCTTACAAATAAAGCCTTTCTCCTTTGCTTCCATTGTACTGATACTACTCTCACGCAATGCTACTTCCAATCATGCACTCCCCTAGGGAAAACAATCCCCCCCCCCCCCCGGGGTGGATTTTTTCTGTGAGACTAACACTTATTCTGCCCTCCACAAAGGTTACAAAAGGGCATATGTGGGCAAGGATGCATCACTCCTATTTTATTCAGCAAGTCCCTACCATCCGGCTATAGAATTATGTAGTCAGGGAACTGAAAACTGTGCTGACTCGCTACATCTGCTAGACCTTACCTCAACAGTAGTCCAAGCTGCCTTTGTATTGTCTGTGCCTGGATTGGTTGTGTGGTGTTAAAGGAGATTTCTAAAGTAGCCTGCTTCATAGTTAATAATACTACAGCAAAGATACTGGCAACCATAGAGTTTCTACTGCTGAGATATAATCTTAGATGTCAACAATTCCTTGGAATGTGTTGTTACAATGTATCATATTTCTCTGGGGTGTTAGAACGCCTTTAATCCCAGCACTTGGGAGGCAGAGGCAGGCGGATCTCTGTGAGTTCGAGGCCAGCCTGGTCTACAGAGCGAGTTCCAGGACAGCCTCCAAAACAATACAGAGAAACCCTGTCTCAAAAAAACAAAACCAAAACCAAAAAAAAAAAAAACCCAACAAAACACAACAAAAAAACCAATGTATTATATTTCTCCCACACCTTTAATAACCAAAGCAATGACTTACATAGAGAAATAAAACCTCCAAGGCACAGGTTGATTGGCATCTCAACATGAAGATGGTTCTCCCCCTTCATCAGGCCCTTGATAGTTCCCTCATTAATCATAATATTTGGGCCCTGTGTTTTCAATATATTACTAGCCTTATTGTACGAAAGACATTCAATGCCAGAATCCTGTCCATCTGACAACGTCAAGCACTGTTGTTCCCTTGTCAAAGATTTGGAAGGGTTGGTTGCACAGGCCAAGGGGGTGAGGGCGGGATGTGAGACCAAAACAGGAGCACTATACCTTGCAAATCAAGGAGCCCATTATGAGAAGCCCCCCATACTTTGCAAAAATATGTTGCTATTTACAAGTAAGGTTGCAGCCGGGCGTTGGTGGCTCAGGCCTTTAGTCCCAGCACTCGGGAGGCAGAGGCAGGCGGATCTCTGAGAGTTCGAGACCAGTCTGGTCTACTAGAGCTAGTTCCAGGACAGTCTCCAAAGCCACAGAGAAACCCTGGTTTGAAAAACCAAAAGAAAAAAGAGAGAGAGAGACAAGACAGTTAAGTTTGCTTCTTAAATCTGATGTGTGACCCCATTAACAAGATGTATATCCTTGTCTCCCTCTTTCACTGTATTTTTCTAACAATCTCTAACAGCCAATTCTGTCGCCTCTATAACTACACAGCTGTTTTCTATTAAACTTTTATCTCTCCTCCATAAAAGGGACCTCAAAAGTCCAGTGCTTTTTGAATGCCAACTTAGGGTGAGACAGTCCAGTCCGGGGTGTGCCTCTCAATTAAAGCTTGCTTTGAGTAGACAATCATGGATATTTAGTCTTTCTCCTCGCAAGTTTCAGGTTTAGTACTTATTACTACAGTAGGCATGACGGCACATGCCTGTAACGCCCCAATTCCTTTTACTTGAGAGGCTGAGGTAGGAGCATCTCAAAATCAACCTGGGTTATGGAGAGAGCCAGTTGTCTATTGGAAACAAAAACGTAACCATCCCTCACAGAATCTAAGAACAAGCTTCTACAGAGCAATCCCAAGAACTTCCGGTTGGTCACAGCGCCCCGTCGCCAGGCAACTCCCCGCGTGGGACGCAGCCCCCCTACTGATTACTGACGTCTCGGTCTTCTAATGACCTTCAGAGCCCATGCTCTCCTGGACGCTGATTGGCTCTGCGCTGACACCACCACCACCCCCACCACCCCCGCCTCCCTCTTTCCTCTCTTTGCTAGGCTCCTAGGCGTTCCAGAGTTTGTTTTGTCTGGACGCTGGCTAGAGCAGCACCTGGGATGCCGCGTGGATGTCGAAGCCGCTCTTCCCGGGTGTCCATAGCGGGCAGGTGAGCTCCTCCTCGGGCCTGAGAACCGAGCGCGGGCGGCCAGGGTGACGTTCCGTACCCTGAAGGCGGCCGGGGATGAGGCAGTGCGAGCGGTCGGGAAGGGACCCGCTCCTGGGGAAGAGGGCTCCCCGAGAACCGGGACACGCTCTGTGCACTACTGGATAGGACCCTAGAGCGTGAACCTTTTTTCTTAGACTGCTTAGGAGGAAGAGCGAAGAGACGGGGAAAGACTTGATTTCTGTGAAGGTCTTACTGTGTTCTTGAGCCCCCCGGGACTAGCCTTGAACTTGATATTATAGGCCTGGTTAGCCTTCCTTGATTTTCCTGACTCCGCTTCCCTACGGCTGGGATTATAGACTTTAAAGGCGTGTACAAAAAAAATTATTATTTTTTAAATGGGTTTTCCAAGACAGGGTTTCTCTGTGTAGCTTTGTAGACCAGGCTGGCCGCGAACTCACAGAGATCCACCTGCCTCTACCTCCGGAATGCTGGGGTTAAAGGCATGCGCCTCCACCGCCTGACTAGGAAAAAAAAACGAAAACAAAAACAACTTTTTAAAGTATTTGTGCGCGGGCCTCCCTGTGGAGAGCAGAGAATTTCAGTCCAGGAGACCTACCATTTAGTGGTAAACGGTTCTATTGCAGTGATCTTCAACCTTCTTATTGCTGTGATCCCTTTATACAGTTCACCGTGTAGTGGTGACCACCAACAATAAAATTATTTTTGTTGCTACTTCATAACTGTAATTTTGCTACTGTTATGAATCGCAATGTCAACGTCTGATATGCGGCATGGTCTTAGGCGACACCTTTGAGAGAGACCCGCAAAGGGGAAGCCACCATGTACTAAGCAATGCTACTCTATTGAACCATATCGCCAGCCCACATGAAGATAAGTAGGAAATTGTTGGTAGCATCCAGATTCCAGGTGTTCTACTTTTGGGGAATAAAAATCATAGAAAGTTAAAAGCTGTGGCTGTACTGGGAGGGAACCTGAGGACTGTCTATATGGCAGGGAAATGCCCCATCTACCGCCAAGGTAGTCATCCATAGGTTCATCTCGCCAAAGGCAACAGTAGCCACCAGTTCAAGGCTTGTGGGGTTACCCATGGAGGGACCCAGACTCCAAAAACTAAAAGAAAAATGAGAGTAATAAGAGTTGTAGTT